ATCTGCAAAAGGACTCACTAGCTGTTTATGCGGAGAAAATGCGCCACGCTTAACCACACTTTTACTATTTTGAAAAATCTAATTATATTCTCTTTGATAACAAATACTTTAATTTTTTGAGGAGATTAATTACTATATATTTTTTTTTACCAGAAGAAACATTAACAAACCAATTGGCATACATATAACGTTTTGCAGCTTAACCAATGATATGATAAGCCCCTTCCGAAAAATTGTATAAAAAATAAAATATAATTTTATTTTTATTTTTGTTAACACTAATATAACCTATAGCATTTATTTATGTTTATTACGGGAATTTTTACATAATATGGTTGATAAAAATAGTTCAACTCAATCTCACATTTGAATGATATACACTACTGCCTTTTTAACTAGAACAATTTTGTTTTTATTCTTAATGTGTTTAAATAGTAATGGTAGAAAATACTTTGTATTTTTTAAACATGAAAAAACAAGGGATGAAACGCATTACAAGGATCATCTTTGTTTAAAAATACTTGGTATATTTTACAATTTACATTTCTTATATCATTCAGAAGCTGTTTAGACTTCCGTTGTCAGTTAAATTTTAAAAACTCTCACATTATATACAATCCACTGTGATTTGCCGTGCTTGATCCCTTTTAAATATCTAATGTTATATGTTTTATATCATTAGGGAAACCCTTGTAAACTTTAACATATGTTAAATTATGCAAATCATTTGGAATACATACATGCTTATACTAGCTTTTATCTTATTTTTAACATGCGTGCCGCAGCATACGAAACATCTTATTTCCATTGAGCTGTGGGGTCGGTTGTAGAAGTCGAACTCGAATCATTCAAACTGAATTCAAAGCTATTGTCCCCACTGGTGCATGTTACAGTAGTCAAGCTCGAGTCATTGCCTGGACTCTGTCGTCCAAAAACACTTAGACATGGCAAACTTTGATCACCTGAGTTTCCATCTAATTCTGCATCAACATTACCAACATCTGACATGTTTATACCGTTATATTCATTTTGGCCATCATCGTCAAAGCTATCATTGCTTAGACTACTGCAGTGACTATCGTCGCTTAGAGCATTTGGCGAAGGTGTTGTAATTTGCCGTGCAATTGATTTGAACTAAAGTTATTTCCCACACCATTCAAAGCTACACTACTGTTGGTGCTCAAATTGAGTTCAGTGATAAGGGGCAGACTACCGCCAGAACCAATTTCTGACGACAACGTCGCCGCAGCATTCGATGTCGAAGCGACGATTGGCGCGTCTTTAAGTTCACCTGATGCGCTGGCGATGTTGGAATCCAGAAGCGTAAGCATGGGGATCCTGTTCAGCTCCTCCGATTTAGCAGTTGAGTGATTACTACTATTAAACTCAAGCAAGTCGCTTAATTCTGGTATATTATGTGCCGACATAGTATTACTAACAGACAAATGGCAATTTTGTTGCAAATTTGGTACATCACCTTTTTCGTGGCCGTGATTCTTTTTGGTACCATCAACAGGCTCCGCTGTGTCAGCTTCGTTGTTAATTTGTGGTTGTTGATTTTGTAGTTGCAACTGTTGTTGTTGGCGGTTTTGTAAGTTTTGTTTACGTGCGATTCGTTGCGCTCGTGGTGGTGGTTTTGGAGCCGTACCATTCATATCCTTACTAAAGAACGGAACTTTCGTATAATAATCTCGATTGTGATCTGGAACACTATCTACACGATGAGCATTATCATTGAGTGTTTCTGTGTCTGGGTAGCCGATGGAGTCATTAACAAAGTCCGCCACACTACCTAAACACTCCGTAGGTATGGATATGTCTACTTTAGCTCCAGGTCCTTCTAATGGGCGCTCGGGCAGCGGTTCTGTTAGATGAAAAAAGTTAGAATAAAAACCAAACATACATACTTATGTACATAAATATATGCTTTGTTCCATATACATATATATCGATGGTCCTCTGCAGTAACGCCACAAATCAAAATTCAAAAAGTAAAAACTCTTACCACTGTTCTGTGGTACATGTCTCTAATCCATGTCTAATCTTTAGTAAAGAGCTTGTAGGGAATGGTGTTGGAGTGACAGTTCTTGGCAAGATATCAATCTGGATCGTTCCGGTTACGTACATATACTCGAGTGTCGTGGGAACGTTCATATCTCTAATCCTTAATACTTACTTTAGTAAATATCAGGACCAAGGACTGTCACCCCAGCATTATTCCCCATTGTGTGCTGTTGCAACAACAGACTTGAGCCACTTAACAGTAGCAGCGGATTTTATTTTTTGGATCTTGACTTGTGTCGTACTGCAGAGTACCATTGATAGGTAGAGATTTTTTCATTCTCATGCTATTTTACACACATACATACATGTACATATCCACCCCTGATTGCGATTTTATCGTTAGCAACGAATAGTAAAATTTACAGGAGAGGTTTTGTTAATTCTCTTTTTAACAGTGTAAAAATTTATTGGAATTTAAACGGACAACATTATTGAACACCAGCTTTTTAATAGCACTATTAATTAATTTAAGTCAATTAAATATAAGCACTGTAACTTTAACTCTTTGGGTGCATCTACTAGATTGTCCACAAGTTCTCTTCGTGGATGCAGTGTTAAAGGTCATTCAATTATCTACCATGCATCTAAACTATCATATTGACGCTACTATTTGGTATTTTCTGGCGGTTTTTTAAGAATGATAAAAAAAGTAAAATTTAATCCTTGACCAAAATAGGTTCAGTTCCAAAAACTTCATATTAGGGAGATTTTTGGCAAGTTTAGAAATCAGTTCTTATTTTCTTCGACTCGGCGTATGTTTTAAACCTAGTTATTGGAGAATAACATCGCTTAACGAAAACTTTTAATTCAAAATTAAAATCAAAGACTACAACTTTATAAACAGAAGGTTAAAGAGCGAAGCTATGATAAGTAAAAGTGATATAATCAAAATCTTATAAGCTATTTGAAAGGAATAAACGGCAAAATGAAGTAATTTCCCCAAGTGTGAATCCATATGACCGCATAAGCTAGTGTTACGATCGCAATTTCGAATTCAGTGCATTTTTTTATACCAGTGCATACAATAGGAATATAAGCCCCGTTAAATGTCTGGTTTTTCATCTTTCTAATATGCTTTTAAATCTTATAACCCTTGGGCAAAGCATGAGATTAAAAAAAGACCCACTAGACTAACTGCACTGCACTTAGTGATTGCAGAAGCAATTGCGTAATGTAACTGATTTTGAGGCACTCATTTGTAGCAAGCGCCGATGGAACTTTGGTTAAAACTACAGTTCATACTGCTATTCGCAATAAAGTTCTGTACACACAGTGTCGCTTACGATAAAATTATAAGAACACAAAAAATTCATTTCGCTTTTTTCAGTAACGGTAAATATTCAAAGTCCGTGATTTTGTAGGTATTCGCAATAAAAAAAAAAAATTCGATAATTTGTCGCGGCAAAATCGCAATTAGGGGTCGATATTATGTACATTCACATGCGCATACTAGCCTATATTTTGCTGCATTTGTTCTTAATTCTTAATTGTGATAAGGCTGTCTTACAACAAATTTGTTGCTATAAATTTCTTAACAACATACATACATATATAAATATGGTTTCATGAACATGCATTTAGATTATAAATGGATTTCCCAACGCGCCGCTTTCGAAAATTGTTTCGTAATTTTGTGGGAAACTTTGGTTTTCGCTTTCTCTTAGTAGAATATGTATAAATGTATGGCTAAATGCCTTAATCGACCGAAAAATCAACTTTTCCTTTTATAAAAGATCTTTAATTCCTATGCATATACATATGTATGTAGTAGGCAATTTAGGAGTAAAGACCTCTCTCGACGTACGAAAACCACACTTTATAAGTCACTTATCATGCCCGTGTTGGTATATGGCGCCGAAGGATGGCCATGTCGATCGATCGAATGGACTCCGCCGCTCCAGCTCTGAAAATATTCAACTCGGAGTCCGCTTGTGGTAGCAGAGGAAGAGGGAGGCTACCAATGCGTTGGAAATACCAAGTGGAGAGGGACTTGACTTCACTTGGCATTTCCAATTGGCGTCATTTGGCCCAGAAGAGGAACGACTGGCGTGCTTTGTTGAACTCGGCCAAAATCGCTTAGGCGGTTACAGCGCCAAAAAAGAAGAAATGTATGTAGCTACTAATGAATACATATATATGTATATTGATTTATACCAGGGACTTATGTCCTTTTAACAAATGCATTCCTGAGCTTGTGTGATATTTATGAATCTTAAAAAATATTTTTTTTTACCGTTAAGAAAATGCTCTGCCACAAAATCTGCTGCATTCCAGAGGTCAGCCTTTATCAGCAATTGTAATAGTAGGCCAACCGTTGGGCGCTCGTGTTTACGTCCACTTGTACTCCATTCTTGAATCAATATCTCCGCAAAATAACACCCACTTGTTTGCTTGGTTGCTTCTTCTATTAGACGTATTTGTTCGGGCTTATACTTCAATTCAACCACACTTGAACCGTTCCATTTATGGCTACCTCGTCCTACGGAAATCTCCGATATTGGATGCATCTTGAGTTGACCAATTTTTGGGTATAGTTTCCATCAATTTTCGCCCACCATCGAACCCCAGTGTTTCAGCCAGCCGGTTTACATCATTAGATTGCAGTCGCCGCAATTCTGTATCGCGTGTATACATTTTATATTTTCACTGCACTCTCCACTGCTCAGAGTGGGCGTGAAATCTATACGCGTCTAGGTGTATTATACTGTGGTCTTCAATATCTTTCTATATAAACAACTTAAAATCTCCAAAAGTATTCAACAAGTTCTACTGACTGATGCTACTGTGGAATTTTGGCCTTCAGCGACGCTGCGATGTCCGATGTCCGATCTTTATTCGCTCTATTCTTTCTTCGATGTTTCGTTGCTTCCTTGTTTTTTCTTATACTTTCTGAACAAATTCGTGTCAATGTTGCCACGCATTTTGTTTGCTGATAAAATAAATGTCAGTGTACGGAGTTAAGCCGATTCTGAATAGAAACTCCCTGGGATTTTTTTCTCTTCTCCCTTTTCTCCTATCATGAATAAAAATTCTCTGAGGATTTTTTATGGGTACTGTTTATGAATTTGTACAACGATTTTGGGTTGCTGTGCCCAAACGCGTGAATCGAATCAAAAAACTTTTACACACACTTGTAGACAACAGTTCCCGCTTTATTACAAAAATTTAATTTACTAAATCTGTGCACTAATTTAACAATAATGTCGGTTGGAAATATGGTATTTGTTGCAAATTTTTGTTATAAATTTGTATATACATTTTTATAAACAAGATATTTTTATAAAACACCCAGTAACCAAAATAGACATCACATCCTTCGAACAATCACCGGAGCATCTTGGTATATGCGAAATGAGAACATTCACCACGACTTGAGAATACCAGAAGTACGAACCGAAATAGAACAACGGAAGACGAAATATGTATCGAAGCTTTTAGCGCACCCAAATCATTTTTCAAGATCTTTATTGCGTGTCAACAGGACCTCAAGACTACGTAGGAATGACTTANAGATTGTTTTTGAAATATACGTCAACATATCAACAGGAACGTTCTAAAGAATAAATAAACAAAAAAGCTTATTCCAAACGTTCAGAATGAATAAAGAAATGCAGCCATTGTTAGGCTCTTAGGCAGGNGATCTTTATTGCGTGTCAACAGGACCTCAAGACTACGTAGGAATGACTTACCAGCCCAGTCGTAATCTTTTCTTAGGGCCAGTTAAGAAAATACTCATCCCAACTAAGGGATGTAAATTAAGTGAATAGATTAAGATTCGAAAAATTATTGGCTGCGTTTCTTTATACATTCCGGATAATCCCATTTCAAAGCCGGAATAAACATAATGCGTTAGAAATATATGTACGTCAACATATCCACAGGAACGTTCTAAAGAATAAATAAACAAAAAAGCTTATTCCAAACGTTCAGAATGAATAAAGAAATGCAGCCATTGTTAGGCTCTTAGGCAGGGCAGATTCAATAAATAAAAAATAAAAAATTAAAAAAAAAAAACTGGGGCGGCAGCCACAGGTTTACCACACANGGCCAACCAAAATAGACATCACTGGGGCGCCAGCCCCAGGTTTACCACACAGAAAGGGAATTTTAGTTACCTCATCCTTTCCCAAGGTTACATCACTGGGGCGGTAGCAAGTTTAACTTTGTTTTTTCCTTGCAAAAAATCTAAAATTCCCCTATTTTCAAACAGCTCCCCAGAGGTCTGTTGGAGGGGTTGGGGGGGAGGGGTGACTTTTCATAAAGCGGCGTCAATCCTCTTTCGTTTAGGGGGGATTTGTGGGTCGTCATCAGAAAGTCGTGGTCTCATCCGAGGCTGTTTTTTATTTTTCATTGGGCGGGATTTTAACGTGGCGGGACCCAAACCCAGCGCACGCGAAGTTTTACGCCTTCTCACTTTAGCTCGCTCCCAAACGGGTGTTTGGTTGCTACCCAGAGGATACGTGGATATAAATATCCGGACGTTGTGAGCTGCGATTTGAACCGGACGCACAAGCAAAAGCAAAAGCAAAAGCATTATTCCTGTAAAAACGTCAACCAGTGATCGCTTGACACTTTTCATGATTTTTCCAGAAGAAAAAGTTCGGGTAAAATCTTGCAACTTCATTCTCTGCACACTTTCCAAAAATCGCTCTTATTTGCAGGATTTTGGAGGGATTCGGAGTACGGAATCATTTTTCCTGCAAGTTTGTGTAAAAACTGTTAAACTATGTTCANTGAAAAAAGTCGATTTTTTTAGCGGGTTCTACGCCATCTTGTTTCACTGGAAAACGAGCGAAAAGTAAACAAAGCAAAGAAAACAACGAAAACCAAAATTAGCCAAAATTATTGTCAGCCACTTTAAACGCACAATTTAGGTAAAATGATGCAACAAAATGCTTTAAAATGTGTTGTCATGTTGAATTAACTCTTCTTTACTTGAATAAAAGTGTAAAATAGTGGTGCTTGTGATGTAAACAAACGCTCAGCTGGCGAACCCGCTTTCGCAAACTTTTTTCTCAAAACCAGTTACAAATACAACGACGCGTTCTTACGTGATCTTGTATTTTTGGTTCATGAGAGGTATTCACACCTAGCTTATTTTATTATCGGTATATCGGTTGCCGAATTATCGCGTTACTAAAGCTTGATAATTTTTGTGGTAGTTGCTAAACTGAAATCCTGTTTGATTTTTATTCAATTTTAAATGCGCCCGTTGCCGTTTCCATCAATTTTCTGTTACAATTTATTTACATATGTTTTTTTTTGAAAGTAGCTACGAATCAGCTGTTGATTAACATAGTTTACCAGACTAACAAAATAAAGCTGAAAAGAACGTTCACAGCTGGTAAAGTTACCGAGTACCAATTAGTAGTTTACTCGGTGGTTTGAGTTATTTTACACAAACAAAATACATTAGGAAAAATTACCAACATTGGACTTGGAAATATTTCCAATTGTTACTAGATTTATTTAAGCTTTTTCCGGTGAAGACAAAACCTGAAAAGTTCTCCAGTGGCCTCTTTTTTATCAAATTTCGTTTGTGATTCGAACGTACCGCAGGCAGATATTTCTTTTCAAATTTTTTAGGTACATTTGCCTGTTTCTCCTCAAATAGATACAATTTGAGTTTCATATTCCATTCCTGCTGAGTGTTGCACCAATGCAACCATGTATGTATAAAAAAAACCTAAATCGATTGACCACCATTTTCTTTTGTCTGTGGCGTAATTTAAGTGAAATTTCTTTGGATTAAAATTATTAAAATAGGAATTAAAAAGGTAAAGTAGTAGCGGCCATTTTTTCTGTGTCAAAATAATAAACAAGATTCCTGTTTGTAAAATTTTCCAAAAACGATTCCTTGGGCACAAAAATATGGATGATTTAAAGCAGTTGCAGCACAATGGCCTCCATTATGGCTCGACGGATTCTAATTCTGGTAGCGATAGCGAAGATAGTACAATTTCAGCTGTGAAAAACGGTCCAGAAAATCATCGGCGAAATCGTAGGCCCACAAGACGCCCAAACCCGAATATACATAACCGGAATGCCTTGTTGGCACGAGAAAATCGTCGCAAGAAAAAAGAGCATTTGCAGGCCATGGAGAAGGAACTGGAGGAAATGCGGTTGACAAACAAACAACTGAAGAAGGCATTGAAGCAGCAGATGAAAGCAGTTGATCAACTTCAGCGAGAAAAAAGGTATTTTCAGAGCGTTATAGCAAATCACAAAGAAATAGAGAATCTTATTAAAGCTCTGAATGTTCGAATGCATGCACAGCAAACTGCAAATGAAAATTCTCCAATGTTGAATTCACCAGGACATTCGAATTGTAGTCGACAGCTGTGTCCATCACCAACGATTTTTCAGCAGTTGGCCAGCGTGGAAAATGGGTTGGAAAAAGGCTTTGATCAAAATCTAACTTCCACGTCGCATCTTTCGGATAATGGTAGCGTAGGCATTTCAGAGGAGTTTTATGATCCCGAAAATACAATGCAATTGTATAACATTTTTGAAAATTTTTCCTCAGATTTCGCACCTTCGTCTGTTTTTAATGATGCATGGTCCGATCTACTAGATGATGACTTTGCAACAAAAGACAATACACAAATAACTACGGTTACTGAAGATCATAGTTACGCAGATTTGAGTGAAATGTCTCGGACAGGAAATACAGAAGCAGATGCAGGCGTTTGTTTACATATAAGGCAAGGGAAAGTTTCTTTAGAATTCTGCCCTAGCTGCAGTTGGAATGCAAATGACAATTCAGCCACATACGCTATGTAAAATTGATTTAGTCTTAATTGTGGTTTTTATACTTTTAGCGATACTAAGTACATACAAATTTATGTATTACGATTATTTTTATGCTTTAATGAAATTAAGACGATTTTTCATCACAAATTCGGAGTGACTGAGAGAAAAGGTGGGTCAAAATCCTAGCGTTTTAAAAACAATTGGGTTAAATGGAGCATTATGTATTTAATATTGTTGTATTTTTTCAGCTCTGTGACTACCACAATTTTGTCAACACTTGAACATCTTCCGAAAGTCAGAGATAAAGGTAAAAGTCGCAGAAAGATAAAATTTCTGAAGCCTTAAAATAAAACAGTTTACGTCAATCTCGTTTACCGAATAATTTATTGCTGCTATAAGTAAGCATAGATCTTTTAAAATTGTGACTTTTATGTAAAACAAAGCAATTTGCAAATGAGGCACTCCGAATTATAGTCGATGAATTTTCGTTCAGATAATTTGGTCGCGTCTTTTGTTGAAAGGCCTGAGTTATTACTTAAAAATATAAATGCGATACATACTAGAATTTCTCATTCACTGAATAAATGTTATTTATTTAATATTATTAAAGTTTATTAATTTAAATTATACTAATGTAATAAGTCGCGTCTTCATTAATGACCCTATCATGTGAGGCGGCTGGGGTCTAGTTGCCAGGGCTACCAGTATCGTAATTTGTATTATGTATAGCGATTACTAAGGTCGGTGTTATGCAGACAAGCTTTTGGTTGCCAAATTAAATGGCGGCTGCTTAGTTTGCTCGGAGGTGGTTATGTCGAGTTTGGTACAGGATTGCACGCTCGTTATGGTTCTCATGGCTATTGCCAACACGAAATGGGAATTTCAGATGTATAGGCAATTAACTGTGCCCTAATTTTTGAAGCTCCTACAGCATAAATTCAGTTCTCTGGCTTTCGGTATCACGGCAATTTTTGTGTATAGGAACAATTGTCTACAATTTTTGTATATGACAACACCGAATTGCTGCAGTTTGACCAAACAAAATTAAGTTGCTGTGAGAGTCGCCAAACTCACTCTCTCCGAGTTTGCTGCAACAACAATTGCACGCAGTTTGCCAAAAAAAAATTCTGCATAACACCGACCTAATTGGCAAATTTTCTCCGATGTGAGCAAATATAAAAATCGTCGTAGCGGGAAACAGAATATTCGCCTACTAGACTTATTAGCCAATAGCCACATTAAAGAATGTGATTGCCCATCGCCTATCTGTCGCCATACACAATAGGGCCATAAGAGTGTTCAGAATTACGGCATCAAAATCTGACTTGATTTACTTTAAGGAATAATTGTTTCAAGATCACTTACCCATATTTATTGTATTTAAAATTTCTCCTATTATAGTCTGAATTAAAAAGCTGCTTTAACTTAACATGCAGAAGTTAATGGTTTAATTTATTAAATCTTATTTTCTGCACAAAATCGGAATCCACCGAATATATTTTTGTGCAAATATCCATTACCGAGAAAGTCTTTGGATGTTAGTCTAAATCTGCAGCATTTGCTGTCCCTCCAGTGCGTCTAGGTACATCCCCGAACGGAGCTGGCTGTGGGCCATTTTCGCTTTCGTCGTCGTCATCATCAAACCCCTGGAACAATCGTGTAAACAAATCACCAAACATTCCACCCATTAAACCGCCACCGCCCATAGTAGACGGCGGTGCAACACCGAAGAAATGTACTCCTATTTTTATCAAATACTTCTCAAAGGAAGGGTCCCTATTCAAAGACGGTTTATACAGGTCACATAAAGCACGAAAAGCGTCTTGTCGCCCGGTATCGATGCAGCGAAACAAAAAGTATACGAAATTGAGTAGTGGTTGTTTAAAAGGAGCTTCTTTACGCCTGATATCCGAATGATTTGTGGTAAAGGAAATAAACGTTTCTTCGGATGTTCTGCGATCTTTTAAACATAACTGTTGTAGTACGGCTTGCAGTATAAACAAGTCCAATTCGCTGTCATAGCCTTTGTTTTTATGAATCTTTATCAGAATGCGTCCACACAGATTTCCATCGCGACTTAGTAAAAAGTGGTGACGTGCCTGCTCATAATTTCCTTCCGCCCAAAATACTTGAGCAATAGCTTTATGCATGCTAGGATGTCCCAAAGTGTTTCCGGACATATCGCTACTCCATTTTATTGCGCGATTCTGAGAATTTGTCAATATAAGAAATAAATGGGGGAAACTTTCCATTATGGCCGTTCGTTAAAGGTGCGGTGGGCGAGAGGGTATGAACCGCCATTGACAAAAATGCAACCCCCGACCACCTAGGCCCCCTATGGTTCCCTACGGACGTCTTAGAAAAATGGCCAAAAATCGCAATTTTTACTTGCAACATTTTTCAAGCGAATAAACGCAAATGAAAATTGTGATTTTTAGCAATTTTTCTAAGAGGTCCCTAGGGAACAATAGGGTGCCTAGGTGGTCGGGGGTTGCATTTTTGTTAATGACGGTTCATTCCCTCTCCAAAAAGGTGGGTTAGAGGTGCCACGCCCACTTATCTTTCGCCCACCGCCCCTTTAACGAACGGCCATAAAGGAAAGCCAACCCAATAAATGGGAAAGGGTAAGGAAACTTACGACCAAAGTTTCGCGTTCAACAGTTGTAGCGCTGAGATGTCCAATAATAGTAGCCAAACGATCAATCCACAGGTCACCATCATTACTAGCTTCAGTTCCAGCACTACCACGCTTTTCTAATGTATCGATAAGAAGAAGGGCTAAATCCGCGGCACTGGTCTCTTGTTGTTTAGAGACGAGCTTCATTGCGCCGCTCCACAACAGCTCCAGACAGTCTGTATATTTCTGTTGCCCAGTGTATCTAAAGTACAATGTACGATACATTTGATGTGCTTCATAGTAGTTTCCTGACTCTATTGAATTTTCCAACTTGGTCAGCACACGGCTAACACCCCGCTGTCCACCTCGATCTAAAACAGTTGCCGTCATAATCGCTTTGGTATTATACAAATTACTTAAAAATATATTTTTTAAATGGATCACTGCGAAAATTTGCTATTTTTTTCTTTTGACGTTTCTGTGACATTCCACATACCACGACCACATTTAGTGCTCGGACGCCCTGTGCAGCGCATGAACCAATGAACCAAGGGTGTGTTACTGGCGAATTTAAATTTTCGCCGCGGTACTTATTAATGCCAAAATCATGTGTTTGTTGTAAACAAGGCGAATTCATTTTACAACAAACACACTATTTTGACATTAAGAAGTACCGTTGCGAAAATTTAAATTCGCCAGTAACACCTCCTTGTATAAATTCGCCCTGCCCTTTGCCCGCGTCGCTCAAAGAGTCGCAATAGCGGAGTGGTCAAAGCATTAGGCCAAAAACGTAGTTGCAGAATTAGGTCCTGGCCGAGGTCAAATAAAAGCTCACTTCAATTTTGCCGTATATATGGCGTGAAAATATATCGTGAAATTGTGCGCGTTATTTCCTATCAACATTTAAAATCAAACTTACGCTTTTGTGCGCTCATCACGCTTCCATCTCCAGAACCACAATTAATTTTCTTTTCTAGAAGGTTTTGACGTTTTAGTTTCGTGTGGTTGGGGATGGAATTATAAAATTTATCGAGAAAAGACATAACATAAAGATACTAACACACTGTCAACAACAAGGGAGCACAAAGGTACAAGCACACTTCTACAGCCTTNCGAGAAAAGACATAACATAAAGATACTAACACACTGTCAACAACAAGGGACCACAAAGGTACAAGCACACTTCTACAGCCGAGCCAACAATAGTGGAGCGGCGAGCAAAGAGCATCGAGCAAAGCGTCGATTTCAAATGCATATGTTTCAATGGGAGAGCGCATAGTGATGAGCAAAACTTACGTACACGTTTGTAATTGAAGCTAGGAATGCTCGACATTTAAGAAAGTATCGATATCATGAATCGATTTAATTCATTGCATATAAAATCGATATGGCGATATACTTTTTCCTGAAAATCGATTACAAATACAACGATGGCTGATTAGTCTGCGTTCAAACACGGAAACTCGAGTTTCTTATTATCGGCGATTTCTCTTTCGGTGTTGCCCTTTGCATTCACACACAGAATCTCTTTTGTACGCAATTGTTGTTGTCAGCTGTGAATCGCCAACTTGAATTACTCAGACGAACGAGAGCACAAAGCGTGTTTCTCGAGTACGGGCGACTCGGTACCCATCCCCTTTCCTCGTCGCTCTCTCCCTCAAAGCTTCGAGTTTCCGCAACAAAAGTTTTCGTGTCTGAACGTCGACTAAGGGGATCTGTAGTTGTTGGTTCATGTGTAACATTGTTTCATGCATGAATAGACCTTACAACGGGGAAGTCCAAACACTGTTAACAGTGAAAGAGAAATGTCAAATTAAAAAAAAATTAATTTTTCTTAATTCAGTCTGGTCATTTGTTTATCTTCTATCTTTAGTAAATATATTATAAAAATATACGCAATTTTCGGGAGATGGAGCAATCAGTAGCCAGTAAAAATAAAACTGGAGCTAGTACACTGTCTCCAATAACCACGAACCAATCAACTATCGGAATGGAGTCTGCGACTGAAGTAGTTAGGGAAAGTTGTAACAAATTTCCGTCATCGAAGTGGGTGAAGCTGAATGTTGGTGGAAAAATTTATGTGACCACCTTATGTACGTTGGTTAGTAAAGAGCCCGATAGTATGTTGGCGCGCATGTTTTCGCAGGATGGAATGTTGCCTAGTGAACAAGACGAACAAGGTGCTTATCTCATAGATCGCAGTGCGCACTATTTTGAGCCAATTCTAAATTACTTGCGGCATGGGCAACTGATTGTGGACGCTCATGTAAGCCTTGAAGGTGTATTGGAAGAAGCGAGGTTTTTTGGAATTTATTCGCTTATAAGTCAACTTGAACCCCAACTTGCACAAATCAATCGACCCATAGACGATATGCCACTCACACGACGGGATGTTATTAAAGCATTAATTCAAACACCCCATGCTAGTGAGTTGCGATTTCAGGGCGTTAACCTGGCAGGTGCTGATTTACGAAAGCTTGATTTCCGTAATATTAATTTTAAGGTAGGTTTCGCTATTAAAATATGTAATTTGCCTAACAGAATTTTAGAAAGTTTTTGTTCTTTTATTTAACTATCTGCTATTAGTATGCATGTATGCAACGGTGTAATTTATCACATGCTAATCTGACGTATTGCTGTCTCGAACGCACCGACTTGGCCTATGCGAATTTGGAGTGTTCGCAACTCGTTTCAGTAAAGGGATTGTGCGCTAATATGGAGGGCGCCAACTTGCGCGGATGTAACTTTGAGGATCCGACTGGGGTCCGTACTAATCTTGAAGGTGTCAATCTTAAAGGTGCTTGCTTAGAAAGTAGCAACATGGCGGGAATAAATCTACGTGTTGCCAATTTAAAGGATGCAAACATGAAGAATTGCAATTTGCGTTCCGCTGTACTTGCAGGAGCCGATTTGGAACGTTGTAATTTATCTGGCAGTGATTTACAGGAAGCAAATTTGCGTGGTGCCAATTTGAAAGACGCTGAACTCACCCTTATGGTGACACCATTACACATGGCTCAAGCCATACGATGAGGTGTGGCTACATTAAATGTTACCATCCCACACCTTAATTTTCCTGTGATTTGATACGCTATCTATTTCTTGCTTGCGCTTAATTTTCGGGATTTAATTGAAATAATATTTTCAACACTGCAGAGCCAAGCAGAAAACATTATAGTGATAGTCTGTAGATACTATTTACATAAAAATTAATATTAGAAATTAAGAAATTTCATACTACGAAAAATAACAATGACTGAGGGACTTGCATACAACATCACTAGAGAGTTAATTTTTAACAGGAATGTCATGTGTATACATTATAATCCTTATAAATTAATCCGCAGATAATAAAATCCCCGTAAGGTATTATTGTTATTCTGGAGAAAAATTTCTAAAACGATTTTACTTAAAATTTTTAGATTCGATACCCAAAAGCGTTTATTTTGTACGAGAACAAATTGTGCTATGCACACTTGCCAAAATTTGATCTATTGTATTGTAGCAAGCACTCGTGGAAGCGCAGCGGTGCAGCAGTATAAAAAAAACCCTTGTGTGCATCAAGCCTAAGTATTCTTAAATGCATCGGTATAAGTTTGCCCCACGACTTTTTTCGTTTACAAATGGTTTACAAGAACTCAACAAGCTTTTCAGGTGACCAGCCTTTTATTAAAAATCTGCTGTGAAGTTCTACTGGAAAAGTATTTGCACTATAGGCTATCCACAGAAAATGAACCTACAATTTACGGTCTTTTAGCAGTGTGCAAACTTAATTTTTTTAATATGCGGTAGAATTGAGAAAAATCATTCAATTACACTGGATCACAAATTTTAATTTGATATTTGGTCTCCAGACACCACTATCCAATTTTTATGTAGAACTGCTCGGTGAATCCGAAATTCGGGTTAATTTTTTTTCTATGGACACGTTTTCGAAATACATATTTGCAATTTACCGTTATTCAGCTTAAAGCAAAAATTGTTTCCTTTGAATAACGTATATCTTACGAACCAATTTAAAAATCGTAGCATAAAATACGGAAAATGAAAGCCAATGAAATTCTCCATAAATCGTATATACATCACTTTCCGATAGGGCTTATAGTTTCTGACAAATTAATCATCCCAGCTTTTTTTATTTTTTAATGAAAAAATCAAACTTTAACAGAAGAAAAATAAAAAAAACAGTTATGTGCCAAATTTTTGCATGATTGCTAAAGCCTGTTCTGTTACAAAAAAAAATCAGGTTACTGATGAAGAAAATCGATGGATAAATACGAAATAATGAGTGGTCAAATGAAAATGCGCAACCTAACCTACCCTATATTTATTGTGCGCTTTTTCTTTTTACTAAAAGAGAAATTTCAGGAAAAAAATCTCGAAATTTTCTTTCATATATTTTTACGTTAGGTTTTTTGCCGTACGTCCACGTATCATTTGAAAAAATATCGCGTACCGTTCACACCAAAAAATTTGTCCGAAATTGTACACAAAAATGAGTCACATGTGACTCCTGAACTTATTTTAACACGCTCTGGTGAGTCACATATGACTCATTGGACAGGGAAGTTGTTAATCTAAGTTTAAACTGGCACTAAGTATACGTTCTGCGTTCTTGACTAATTTCAGCTTTAAGGCCTGGGCTCGAATCGTAACATCCGTTCACGGATCGAAAACGATACGAAAGAAAATTACGTGATACGTCAGGCAGTGTAAGCTGAATGGGACAAAGAGTACGTTCACGTAAGTCATAATCCGAAAAATGTTTTTTACGTGACGAGTGGTACGCTATCGTATGTGACGATTCGAGCCCAGTATGCAGCTCTCTATATGACGCACTTTGGAAATTCCAAAGGCATTCGTATTGCCTATATACATTTATTAATTTCAACACCTCAGCCATACGCCAATCCATTATAACGATATTCTACAATATGAAAATTAAAATTATTGCTGAATTGCATGAATTCTAAACTATAAATACTTACTTATTTATACAGCTCGTTCTTTTTGATGCTGTGATTTTGTTTAAGAAATCTGCGAAGAGCAAAAAAGGCGCCAACCAACTTTTNTTTCTTGAGAGCTGCATATAGGGCTTTAGGACGATATTTAAAAACTTGGCCACATTTTCGTGGTGCGTTATATCGGCCATTTCATTTCAACAGTTATAGTGTTATCACACTCATACTCACTGAACTTACCACACTCACGGTGAAATTTCATGATGTCAGCTTTCAGGGCTGCCAGCTTCGCTCAAACCGTGCCATTTTTGGCCCTCTTACTCCAAATGGCACTTAATTTTTCAATTTGGCATTAAGTGCCAAATTGACACTTTTGAAAAATACTAACATTTTATTACATTTTTGGGAAATCCGGTAAGTGTACTTCGTTTTCTGAACTAAAATTTTCTAATTTCTATAATTTATATTTATACAACTGGTTTATCTTTTCAATTACGCCAAAAAATATTTATATACGGCACACTTTCTTATTCTCAATATGGCACTCCACAGCTAAGAGTGGTTGGCAGCCCTGTCAGCGTTTGGTAGATCAAGTGAAAATAGGTGAAAATCGTCACAGTTCGTTCCAGCTCTGCATCGCACAGACAAGAAATTCTATTTCTGCAGCTGACGTGATATTTCTGTCAACCCCCCCCCAAAAAACAAATTTTCTCTCGTTGAAAAGAAGAAACTAAAAGCAGTAAAAAAGCCGCACGACGAGATTTAGTGCTAACAATTTTCGCGTTCATAATTTTATTGGCGAAAAGTTTCAGAAGCCGAAGAAGATTGCATTTTGCCACTCCGTTTTCGGTTGAATTGGAAAAAATAAGTTGGTAAGAAAAGTCTAAAGAAGGCCACTAGCTTTCCTGGAGTGTAGCAGCGTAAAAGAGATAAAGATATTAGACATTCTCGTACAAGTACGAGTACAGTGCGCTTAGTACCACTGGTGGGAAGAGCACAACAACGAAAAATATCGGACGGGACGAGTGCCGCTACGTACAATAGGAAAGAGGCGAAAAAACGTGGTTTTTCGGTTTGCTAGCAGCCCAGCAGAAAATTGTCAAATTATAGAAAATAAAATTATTGAGTGACTTTCGCGCCGGATTGTGCACTAGTGACGCAAATAAAACGCTGTAAACGTCGCGAGCTCGTTGAAAAATGGAAAATCAAAACAATACCGCTGCCGTCGTCACAGATGCAGCCACTGCTGCAGAAAATGGTTCGAGCGCTACTCAGGAAGTCTCATCTACAAGTAAGTACATAGATGAAAAAATCTAGTATATGTGTATGACTGTTTGGAGGAAGAGTGTCATAATTTAAGATTTTTAGTTAAGTACAATTGCTTTCAGCTGTTGTGGGACTTTTTCCTACGAATTTAAAAAATTTCCTAGTGTTTTTTGGTATTCAGCAGTGAACCGATTAGTGTAAATTCAATATGTATGTATATGTAGATATTTGAATGGCGTACGATGAGGAATATTGATATTTTTTGGTATAAATTGGGGGAGGAATAATAAGCTATATCGTAAGTTTTCTGCAAGCGTCTCATAGTCCAAAAATTCAAATACTCGACAAAAACTGCTTTAAAATTTGCGGTCTACATTTGCCCCCCTGTTAAAAATGAAGAGCCTTGTTAATCGATACAGCTATTATTGTACACAACATAGGAGAAGGGGTGGGTGTCTGTCATTAATTCATATTTAATTTATTATTTTTTGATTATGACCCTCTTGCAGTAAAATTACCATATTTACTACATGCATGCATGTACATGAACATATATGTATTAATTAGTTACCCCGGTGGGTGACGTAAATTTAAATGTAGTAAGTTTGTGGGAACATAGGGCGGGCTGGTTTGTCCAACTCAACTTAACTTAGTTTAGACATTTTTTGGACTTAAGTCAAAAGCTTAAGCTCAGTTAGTCTAGACTTAATTTCCGTAACTTAACGTAATATTTTGGCCAACCTGTTATATGAGAAACTGTGTTGGCGGTTAATTAAAACTTAACTTACCGTAAGAAACCTAAGAACCTATAGATTTTAGGTTCTTAAGGTGAAATTAGTCGAGAACGTAAACCTACCGGTACGTAAACCCGAGTCAGCTAACACGATCTGTCTTACAAGAGCGCCATGTAAATGAAAACTCAACACCGCAGAACTTTTATGTAGTTGTAGCCCGTAGCGCAGAAATCTGCGGAATTTAGATTTTTCCGTGTCAGCTGATTTCTTCCTTCTATAGATGGTTGCCCCGTCGTCAGTTTTGCAGATGGTAAAAAAGTTATAAGTTCCTATTCAAAATACGTTTAAAATATTTGAAGTTTACTATCGAATGAGGTTTTTTGTTGAAAAATAAGTAGTTTATATTTAGCCAGCATCTATTATAGCACGAAAAATTGTAGTTGAAAAGGTAAGGTTATGAAAAGGCAATGATGTGTGGCAACACTGTAGTAAACAACACTGAGGGCTCCAGTAATCGACAAAATGCGGTGAGAGAAACGGGATTGTCAGACTCTCGTTTTTGTATTTCTTAAAAATAAATAAAAGCAAACATTTGGCATTTTAGGCGGCAAACTGTTAAACACCTGAAAGAGAAAATACAAAAACAAAATATTTCCGCTCTTGGCTTAAGTTGTCGTGTTGAGTAATCATTGATGATTTCTTACGGTAAGTTAAATTAAGTTAAGTCTAGACTCTAGACTAACTGAGCTTTTAGCCTACTTTTTACACAGCTTATTCTTGACGAAGTCTATAAAGTTGGCTAAACTAAGTTGAGTTGGAGTAACCAGCCCATAGTTTATGAGGAATGCTGGAGGATTGACAGTTATTGGCCAGATATAAATGTAGACCCAAATACCGTTGGACCGATTTTTTTAGAGTACTTTATAGCTAAGTAGGTAGTAGGTAGATTGATTACATACATATATGCTTCGTTTCCACGAAAGTTGGTTCTACGTAACCGGTATAACCGGTACGACCCAAATTTATAACTGTCACTCCAGTTTCATTCTCTGAAGAAACGTTGGAAATATGTATGCTGATCACATCAACAACAGATCTTGCTTTGAACTTAGGCGATGCTTTTGCTTTGTAACTCTTGTTTCCTATTTTATGTAAAATTGAATGAATTAACGTGTGCACCTCTAGGGCTCTTCGGACACGTTTTTCNTCCAGTTTCATTCTCTGAAGAAACGTTGGAAATATGTATGCTGATCACATGAACAACAGATCTTGCTTTGAACTTGGCGATGCTTTTGCTTTGTAACTCTTGTTTCCTATTTTATGTAAAATTGAATGAATTAACGTGTGCACCTCTAGGGCTCTTCGGACACGTTTTTTTTTCATCCGATTTTGAAAAGTTCTCGCTGATCACGTTCCTTTAATCAAACGAGCCTATCTAGGTTATTGGTTTTCCTCATACAAAAAAATATTCTCTACAAATAGGCCGCACACTAATGTACATACAAAATTTGTAATTTTGAATATTATACACTTAAAATGGTTCTAATCACAAATATTCCCGCAAATTGTTTAGTAAAGGTAACGCATACATATGTACATACATACATACATACATACATACATATGTGTACATCGTCATCGCCGTAACCGAATGATTGGAAATGCGTAATACCACTCTGAAGCACACAGGTTGGATTCCCTTTGCCCCAATGGCAAAGCCCAACAGAAATCTTCGGCTTTTGAAGGTGGCGTAAAACTCTAGATTTTTTAATTTTTCTGAGAATTAAGATATGTAAACTACAAATTTAGAGAAGGTTTTGCTTTTCAATAAAGCTTGAAATAAATAATATTTTAATTTGCATTAATTAATAAATACATACAGTGGCGCTCAACCAAATAGCACACTTATTTTTTACAATTGAGGGATTCAAAACAGTGTCGGTAAGTGTCGTATTGTTGTATGTCGTAAGCTTTAAAAGCTTAAATAAATGTTCAGAGAACTTGAA